ATATTTTCAAGCCAACTGTAACCTAACCTAAAGGGACATGTTAATTATATAATGTTGTGAAGTGGTACAAAGTTATAAGGCCCTATTGATAAGAGAGTTAGAGAAAAGGATGTTGGAAATGATGCAAAAATGGACACTAAAAAGGACCCAATAACAATTAAGAAAGATAATGGACAAACATCGAAGAATAAAGAGGTGGTCGTAAAGAATAAAGAAGAACCATTTATACCCCATCCTCCTTACAATCCTCGGATCCCATACCCCAAATATTCGCACAAGAGAAAATAGAAGGACATTTATGAAGTTTATTGAGATTTTAAATAAGCTCCATATCAATACCCCTTTTACAAAAGCAATAACTCAGATGCTTTTGTATGTTAAGTTTTTAAAGGAAATTTTGTCGAACAAAAGGAAGATCGATGATAATGGAATAGTGGTGCTCACTAAGGAGTCTAGTGCCATTATTAAAAATAAGATGCCTCCTAAACTGAAAGATCCAGGGAGTTTCTCAATTCCACACGTTATTGTTACATATGTCGTTGACAAAACCTAGTGTAATTTAGGAGCGAGTGTGAGTTTGATTCCTTTTTCTATCTGCGAGATACTCAATATAGGAGAGTTAAATAAACCAAGATATCCCTTTAGCTAGATGGTCGATCCATAAAGTACCCAGTAGAAATACTAGAAGGTGCCCCATTAAGAACAATCCAATTGTAAATTCCCACTAACTTTGTGGTGATGGACATTAATGAAGACTCACATATCCCAATCCTCTTAGGTAGACCTTTTTTAGATACAATAGGTGTTATTATTGATAAAAATAAAGGGAAGATCACCTTCGAGGTTGGAGATGAAAAGATCAAGTTCCTCATATCCCAATTCATGAAAATCCTTCCATAAATGACTTATGCTGCTTTGCTGATATAATATATTGAAGTTCTGGCACTTTAAAATAGATTTCAAGACTGATGTCTCAACATAAAACACAATGTCAGGACAAATGTTATAACATCATCTACTGACAAAAACTTTTACCAAAATAGAAACTATGCAGAATTAAAGTACAAAAGGTAAAAGAACACAATTAATTGTTAACCCAGTTCGGTGCAATATCACTTACTCTGGGGGCTACCAATCCATGAAGGAAATCCACTATAATAGTATTACTTCAAAGCCTAAACAATCCCAATTTACAACTTGTCACCTAATCACTACCCTATGCAATTTCTATTAAGGAACCTCTTAGATATGAGAACCCCCTCTCACTTCCCACAATCACCTCAGTGATAAATACAACCACAAACCAGTGACTAGAACCAAAGAACCAAATAGAAGATTACACTTCAAATACAATACTCAACTCTTTGCTTAAAAGCTCGTGAGTGAGAATAATACTTAGTTTTTCTTAAAAGATTTAAACTAAGAACAATCAGTCAACCTCAATGTATCAAAGATACATGAGTGACATACAAAAACAAAAACACAAAGAACTTGAAGTACTCTTAAAACCCTAACCCTTATATTGCACCCATAATTTTTCTTGTTGTGAATGCTTGATATTTTAGGTTTAGCAAGTCCTTATTTATAGACTCTTGCAATATGGGCTTTGACTCTTCAATCAAATCCAATCTTCTACTTTTAAATCATTGGCAAAATCTTCACACAAAAATACGAATAAAACTTCAAACTTTCTGAAAAAGTCTCAAAGATTCTTTTTATGAAACCAAATCAAATTTGCATTGTTCCTAAAATATCTTTGATTAGATGCAATAGTATGAGAACTAAAAACATCCACAATCTCATACTTTTCAATCAAATCTTCAAGGATTTAAACAGTTGTAATATTCTAATGTTCTGGTGTAACATGTCACAACATCTATCAAAAATACTAACAACAGACCATGTTGTACCAATTGGTTAAGATGTCATGACATCTTGCTCAACATCAGCTAAAAACCATGTTTTAGCAAAATTTATGTCAAACATAAAACCATGGATATAAAAATATCCCCCTTTGGCAAATTTGGGCTAAAACAACCTTAGCACAATTAAACTGGAGAGAGAAATAAAACTACAACCATAAAACTACAACCATAAAACACAAGCTACATGAAAAATATGTAAACTTTATACATACCGCAAACATAAAAATATGTCAGAGATAACATGCAGTTATAGAGAGACCCAGCCTCGCACACAATAGATGTCAAAACATGTAGTCTTACATCGCACAACACTTCAGACAGATTCATTACTCCACCTGTCACACATAATCAGAACTCCCCCTTAAGGGAAAACCCAAATCACCAAAAAATCTAAAATACCAAATATGAACTATTCAAGTTCACACGTCAGAGGCACATTGAGAAGAAGATAAAATAGCCTCACCTCATAATTTTCCATAAAACACATCAGCCAAGATGTCAGCCTTACATCAGGATTCTCCATCAAACACATCAGGAAATATGTTAGAACATCTGGTATGACATTATGCACACAGATCACACATTAGCAGTAGCAACAACATTGGTGTCATCTTCTTCCATATTTTTTGAATTATCATCCATCTGGAATGATGTTCCAACATTTCCTTCAACATTTTGATCATTGTTTGTGTTTGAGTCATCAACTACTACATTTATAGACTTCATCATGACCTGAGTTCTAGTGTTAAAAACTCTATAGGCTCTGATGTTTGTAAAGTAGCCAAGAAATATCCCTTCATAACTCCTGGGGTTCATTTTTCTTCTTTGCTCACGATCAACCAAGATGTAACATTTACTTCTAAAGACATGAAAATATTAATTATAGGCTTCCTCCCTTTACATTACTCATATAGATTGTTAGCAGTATCAGTCTTTAGGGTGACTCTATTATGAATATAACAAGCAGTATTCATAGCTTCTGCCCAAAAATGATATGACAACTTCTTTGCATGAAGCATGATTCTTGATGATTCTTGTAGAGTTCTATTTTTTATTTCCATAACCCCATTTCATTGAGGAGTAATAGGTGAGGAACATTAATGACTAATACCTTCAGGGCACAAAATTCAACAAACTTACTGTTTTCAAACTCCCTACCTATTATAACCCAATTTTCCCCTAAAATCCTCCATCATTTCATATCATCACAATACACCAAGATCACCCACTTGGGTTGGTCACCTCTCCTACTCTCTCATATCTTTAAGTTTGCCCTTGAGGGATCACCAAGCACCTTGATTTGTGTATTGTGTAGTGTGTATTGTGCATGTGTATTCTATATTTACTAACCCTTAACTAAAATCCAAAAAGATGTATGTATTTTCGTTTATGCTACGTAGGTATAGAGCCAAGTGCATCTCTTTCACCTTCTAAGCTAGGGTTTTGAAGATTGATCCTCAGTCAATTAGCTATTCATTAGACTTTCAAAGCTTGAACTTCAAGGCTATATTTATGGTATTAAAGTGCTATGGTTTGAGAACTCTCTCAACTTCATTTGGTCAAGTTTGTCTCAATGTTAGTGGTTGAATTCATCAAGAAACTTTATAGGTTCATGTGTTTATTTCCATGCCTTCTTCAGTAAGTTTCATCAAGCAATGAGTCCTCTCATCAACTTTGCTTCAAGATAACATCATTTCAAGGTCTAATGTGATTCATCGTGTCTTAATTTGCACGAAAAGTTCAAAAGATTCAAAGTTGATTCAAGACTGTTGACCTAATCTGGGCAAGTCCTTGGTTCAATGGTCAAAAGTGCATAACTCTCTCAATTTTCAATATTTTGAAGTGGTTCTTTTTTCTATGGACTCTTCTCATCATTTACAACAACTTCTCTTCACATGACTATCATATCTCAAATTTGTCCGCCCTATTTCTACAGTCAAATAATTTTCAAAATTGGTTTTATAAATTTCTTTGATTTATTTACACTAACATTTTGTGTTTAATAAATATTCATTTTCAATTTATTTTGTCCATTTAAAAACTATATAATAGTTTAATTTATTTCTTAAATAGTAAATACTTGTTCACCTTCATATACTTTCAATTAACTTTTTAATTTCGAATAAGTAATATGACACAATTAGTAATGAATAAAGCTTGCAAGTTTAAGGTTATGGTTCGAATCTCACAAGTTCCACTATAGATATTGATTTCTGTGTATTGTTACTAACTTTATTTTCATTTTTAATTATTTTCAAAATCACAAAAATTTATTTTTTATTATTTAAATATTATTTTCATATTTATTAATTAATTAACTTTAAAAAAATTGAATTTTTTATTTATGCACTTTTTAACTTAAAATAGACAAAAAGTTATAAAACAAAATAAAATATTTTAATTGAGTTTGTTCCATTTTATTTTAGGATAGTTTTTATGAGATTGATCGAAATAGTTAGATTTTAGAAATCAAATCAAATTTATTTTTAAATTATAATTATCATTGATTAATTTCAAATTTTAACTTTATTTATTTAATTAATTTTGAACCTAATTTTTTCATGCTAAAGAGATTATATTTTATCTACGGAAGTCAATTTTCTTCTACCCCATATTCCATTTCCACACACAAGATTCACCCTCACAAAATATTCTTCCTCTCTCCCACGTATAACTTTTTCTTCTAAACCTTTATTTTTATTAGTATTATTTTGTACATAAAGTACACAAATTTCACTAAAAGCCTTGTTTTTTTTCAATATCCACTCATCCCCACGTTTTTACATTAGCCTGTAACCCCTTTTTTACAAAACACAAACCATTATTTTCAAACCAAACATACATATTATCATTACCTTTACAAGCCACTCATGTGCTTTTAACCATTAACAACCACAATCACCATATAAGTCATTTTTTCAAATGGCATAACCTGTAAAACCCTTAACACAACTCACTGTCACTGATAACAATGAATTACTTGCAAAAATCAAATAGAGACAACAATTGCATCAGAAGAAAGAATCAAGAGAAACCAGTAGAGCAAAAAGTAAGGGGAAAAGATGAAAACTGAAAATGCTACGCAAACACCGACGAGCTTTTCTCTATGGCAGAACAGATCCTTGCTATGCTCCCTTCGTTCAGCTCCGGGCAACCGCTACGAATTCACCACCGCGAGCTACGCGGACCCCTCATGCATCTGCCGATCTCCTCCACAGGAAACTTCCTCCGATGCGCTCTTCAACTACCGCCGTTACTTTTTCCAATTCTCTTTCACTTCTATTATTGATGTTGTTGATATGATGTTGTGCATCTCTTATTTGGTTGTTGTTGAAATTTGTTTCTTTAAGATAAGAAGAAAGATATAAGTTTGGTTTTTTGATTCACTTGTTTGTTTTCAGAAAGAAATTTGTGTGTGTGTGTTTTTTGATGAGAGAGATGGAAAATTGGAGAAGGAGAAGTACATGGGGCTGTTCAAGTGTAGAGAAGAAAGATAATTTATTTCCCTTTTGATTCTAAAGTTATTTTCCAAAAAACAGTAAAAATAATGGTTGTTTATAATGTTAAAAAAATCAAAGTATATTAATATTCATTGTTGAATATAAAAGAAAATGAATTTGGGCAATTGAAACAAGACACTATTGTGTCCATACGTTCGAAAAGATTACAAGTCGTCTGAGGAAACCATTGAAATCTTTGATTTGACTAAAAGAGATTATAATTTGGTCAATTTTTATCTCTTTGAGTTCTTTTTTTTTCTACAACAATTTTGAAGATGTCTACTATAACTTTGATTTAAATGCAAGATCTAAAAATGTTGAAAAAGTTATGGAATTGATGAAAACATTATAAGTCATCCATTGATTTCTCAAAAAAATTTCAAGTCATTAAGCCCTCTACATTGTTTGCACCATAGTTTTGAAGTTGGTGCTTTGAAATTGAATTTTTCACTTGCAGTCAGATTCGAGTTTGGTTAATGTGGCTTCTAATGACCAAATTGATATACGATTTCTACTTAAACATGTTTACCAAACTTGCTTGGATCGGTTTAAGTATTGAAAAGCATCATTAGAGTGAGTTTTGATACGCATGGGGTCACACTTTTTGCAATCTTTGGGTTAGCTTGGTTTGCATAATTTTCTCACAAAATCTTCCAACTTTCATCACCATTCATTATCCTATAAATAAAGCAACATATTCCATTCATTTCCTTAAGCTTGGATAGTCAGAATCGCTCTGTCAAAGTCACACTCGAAGCTTGAAATTTAAAAATCAATTTCTTTATTTCAAGCCTTCTTTCTTAAAACTCTCTATTGATTCTTCATCCTTGATCATCATACAAAATTTTCATAACAAAATCCAAGCAATTTGAACATAAAATCAAGCTAGAGAAGTCCAGTTTCAGAGGCTTATAAAGTGAACTTCATTCAGGTAAATTACTGAACCAAATCGTTTCAAATGAATTGTTAGGATGTAGTTCACTCTTCTCTGAAGCTTATGCTTCATCTGGTTTCCATTTTCATGTTGATTTGAGCTTGTAATTTCAAAACTCGTTTTACATTTTCTCTCTGGTATTTTCCAAATCGACTTAGTTTTAGTTTAAATAAATTTTTCGCGAAGACATGATTGAGATCGTGTTGATAAGACGCTTTCAATGATACCAACCTCATGGCCAATGGTTTTTTATTAAGAAACATGGTTTTGCCCTAGTTGTAGGCGTCTGGAGGTTAAAGATGACCAATGTGTCATCCTCAACCAATGCGACAACGCTAATTATTTTAATTTCATTCGCTTGACTTTCTTGGCTATGGTGTGTGCGCATTGACTAATGTTTACCATGTATTCGTGTCTCTGAGCCATCCACATTTCCACATCAATTAATGAAGAGAGATCTAACGCCTCTCATATTTTATGATTTTTATTCTTTTTGTTTTTTATATCATTTCACTTCAAATATTCATAACTCTTTTATTTTTTATTTAAAAATTATGAAAAAATTATACAAAAATACTTTGAATTATTTCTGACTTTGTGAATATTTTTCATATTTTTATTTTTATGTTTTCTATTTTTTATAATTTTTGGATTGCTTTCTTTATTTTAATCAGTTTAAACATACTTTTAATACTTTTTTAATTCTGAAAAAATTATAGAATGATCCAATGATAGTTTGACAACTTATGGTGACCTCATTTGATTTTTATTTCTAACTTTGTTATTTTTTTTGTTATTTTTGGTTTATTTTGATTAGCTTTTTAATTTTTAAAATTAGTTTCTGACCTTTTGAAATTTTGAAAAAAATTGTCAACAATTCTTGACTCATTTGACCTTTGGTAATTTTTTGGAGTTATTATTTAGTGTTTTGATACCCTTTGTGTATTTCATCAATTAATTCCTTTTAATTAACCATTTAAAAAGTTATTTTTAATTATTTTAAATGTATTTTATTTATTTATTTTTTGTTGATTGGCTCTGACTTATGGATAATTGATGACACTTTGGGTCAATTTCCTCAACCTCATTGGATCTTGGGTGTTGATAGGTTGAAAAACCAAATCCACCAAAATGGATGAATGATATTCATAATAATTGAAACCCTCCTTTTAATTCATACGAGGCTTTGGTTCTCTTGTGACATTTCCCCCTCATCTCATCTCTTTATTTTTTCCTTTAAGTGATTATTAGTGGCTCAAACTTTATGTTTGAATGTCCAAGTATGATTGGTTATTAGACTACGGTTCAAAACCTTTGAAGCTTGTTGTTAGGAAGCTTTGATTTTATCAATCCTCTAACAAGTCTTCATCAACTTTGACCTAAGTTCAATATTCAATCATCATTGATAATTTAGTATGGATTATGATCTGACCTGATCAGACTTGGACCGTCACGGCTGGCTCCGAGCTGAAGTTTTGAACGAGGTAGGGGGGGGGGGGTACCTGCAAGGCACTCCGATGCTGAAGTAAGTAAGAGTACGAGCAGGCAAAAGTGTGAGTATATGTGATAGATTGAATACCTGGCCCTCTGGAAACAGAGGGTATTTATAGCCTCCAGCGCTGGGCCAAGGTTCCTTCATTGGGCCGGGCAGGTTTGGCCCAATGGAGGAACTGCCAGGTTCTACGTGCGTAGTGGGGACCTGCACGTGGTCCCCTCCCTGGATGTTCTGCGTGAAGTGCGGGCGGACAGGGACGCGGTCTTTCCGGAGTCCCGTTGAGAGTGCAGTGGGTCGTGTCCACTAGCGAAGGAGCGCTCGAGCTGATGTCAAGCTGGACAATACGAGGACGGGGGTGTCGCCCAGTAACGTGTGTCGGGCATAGCTATGGTCCTTAGGTCGGCATGACCCCTAGCAAGTCCGTTTGGATTGGGCCTTTATCGTTGCTATTGGGCCAGCCGGGCTCAGTCCAGAACAGGAGCCCCCCAAGTCGTGGTTCCTTGGGTTAGGAGCCATGGCTTGATCTTAGGTTGCTTCCATTTCGGGGCCCCGTACCCGGGCAAGAGACGCAGCTCCTCGTGGGGGTACTCGAGGGTTTCCCCGTATTGTGCTCGGGGACAGGTCCCCCGCGAGGAATGCTCGGGGATTCCTCAACAGCCTGCGTCTGTCGAGCACGTGAGGTATCTTTTGGGAACTGTGCCGCCACCCTATGAGGATAGGGTCATCATTGCCTAGGGGAGCTGCGCGTCGAGGAGGGGAATCCGTGGTTGCCCGAGGTGACGTTTGGTATTCCACGTCATCACTATAAATAGGATCCTTGGGCCCTAGAACGTGTTACTACTCTTCGCGCTTCTCCTCTTCGCTCTGTTTCTGCTGCTGTTGTTCTTCCCATATTCTCATAGCATCACCGTGATCTCCGTCACCGCTTCCTTTCCTCTGTCGTCAAATTTACTCCTTGATTCCAAGTAAGTGGCTTGTCTCCTCTGTTTTTCTGTTGTGATGCATGATTTTCATCGTTTTAGATGTTTTTAGAGGCTGTGCGCGTGGGACTAGCCCGGAAAACTTATGTTCAGCCCGACAAATTCATGCATGAGGTCGGCAAACGCATGTTCGTGGCCGGTAGATACATAGTTTAGGTTATAATCTGCAGTGCTGCCCGGGGTCTTCATGCTCCAGGGCGCCTAATTTGTGATCGTGCCCGGTATACTCATAGCTCTAGCTTTAGACTTTATGATGTTGCTCGCCATGTTCATACCCCGGGTCGACGTATTCACGAGTGACCGCGTTGTTGGTTTATTTAGGCGGCTTGTAGAAGGTCCCGTCGAGGTATCTGGAAGTCGGGGAGGCGACTGCTATTTTTGTTTCAAACCAACTTTTTGGTCGCGCGTGGAGCGACGTGGTTTGTCGCGCATTTCATCTTGTCCGTTATGACTAGCGTATGGTTTCGTACCCAATTGACTGGTTTCCCGTGCTCTGTAGGTAACCATGGCGGACGAACCGTGCTCTTCAGGACGCCCCGAAAGGGAAGAACAAAGTGCCGATGAGACTGTGAGTTTGGTCGACACCGTAGAGGACCCTTTGTTGGACTGGGTGGGTGCCGAGCCTAGAGGAATCGCCTCGGTCTATAGTCGGCGCAGCTGAAGGCCATATGTTGTCCTTGAGGCGGGCCACGACCAGCCCGGTTTTCAAAAGAATTTCGTCGTTACTAGACCGACCTTCGCTGCTCGGATTTGCTCAGTGTTCCCTGAGTACAGTTTCCCTATGTATGAAATTGCATTCAAAGACCTTGGGTTGCAGCTTCCCTTCAGCGACTTTCAGGCCGGGGTCTTTAGCCATTTGGGGCTGGCCCCGTCGCAGCTACATCCAAATTTGCTCGCCTTTATCCGGGCGTTTGAGCTGACCTGTCGTTTTCTAAGGATTGGGGCGACTATACCCCTCTTCTTCAGAGTCTTCCATCTGCAACGCCAGTCCCGGGGAGGAAAGCATAGTTGGGTTTCCCTGAAACAGTCGAAGAGACTTTTCAGGATGTACATGGACTCCGTGCGGGGTTTTAAAGACAAGGGGTATGTCGTGAGGCCGGTTACCACAGCCGCTTTAGAGTCCCTGTACGAGGAGGAAGCGGTGATATCCGACGATGACGGGGAGGCACTTTTAGACAACGAAGGGCATCCGGTGTTGGGACGCACGGCCAAGTTTCCCGTGCATTGGATCTCTAGGAATTATGAGCACGGCACTGGGTATTATCATACGTCTGCGGGCGACATGGGTTCCGAGGACGAGAAGGCTTACGACACTCTTTGTCGGTACGTTGATAGCTTCCACCCCGCCAGATGGGCCACGAGGGAGGGGGAAGATGTCCTGGACGAGGAGGGTT